GTGCTTTTTGTTCATTTTGAACAAAATGAACAAATATACTTTTTTTCTCCTTGTAACTAAACAGCTCTACATGCACTGAGATGTCTCTAAGATAGGAGACATGTAGTACATTGTAGGACATAGTAGAATTAGTTAATTTCTGTTTCCACAGTATTCTGTTATTAAAGCCAGTAAAAATGCTGAAGCATGTTTTCCTCTGTAAAACCTGAGATACTGGGATGGTATAGTGAGTAGTCCTTATTTCTTCTCTAATATCAGCTTTATACACCAGTTTCAGCACTATTCATAAGCAATTATGGGAATCCTCCTAGCCATACTCCTCTTACGTAGTAACATGCCAAAGTAAAACCAAGCAGTAAAAGATCCTGTTGTGAATTCACACCGTTGTTTACACGGGTGACAATGAAATCAGTGAAATTCTCATTTAACAGAAGTGTCACTTATTTCAGTTTTATTTTAGTCAGACTCCATGTTTATGTTACATAAAATGTTTTTTTTTCTATTGTCTTACCAGTGTATCTCACTAGTATAAATCTCAGAAAATTCTGCTGTGTTTGAACATGAATTGCCATGTTCTACAAAAATGGTTGTGGGTTTTTCGGGCTTTTTGGCCGTGTTCTGAAGAGCCCGAAAAACCCACAACAACCATTAGATCCCGGCCGTGAAAGCCTTTGCGAATACATTCTACAACAATCTTCCTTGAAAATATTTTGTTCTCTACTCTAATGGAATTAAGAGAATGTTGCAACCAGCTGAGACTATGGCTTCTTGGTGCTTCCCTCCCACCAGAATTTGATAGTTCTATGTACTGTATAAATTAGTTGGCTGGATAGCTCAGTGAGTTAGGTATCTGGCTGTGGAGCCAGAGGTTGGGAGTTCAGTTCCTCCCTGTACCATCCCAGAAGAGTCAGCCTGTGCAGTTTTGGGCAAACTGCACAGTCCCCAAACCTGCCCCCAGAAGAAGTGAACAGTAAACTATTTCTGAGTACTCGCTACCTATGAAATCCTGAAAGGGGTTGCCATGAATCAGATTTGACTTGACAGTGCCCAATTATTTACAGTATTATGCATAAATTGACTGCATTTCTTTTCCAATTGGAAATTGCTTTGATTCAATGTGTCTGCTCTGTAAATGAAAATCAGTTGGGGAACAAATTAACATACGTATGTAATAGTTTGTTCTGAACAGTTATAATCAGGGGAAGTGTTTTTACTTGCAATAGGTATTCTTTGGGGATACAAAGTAAAACTAATATTTATCTTTTTTGTACTGTTTTCGTGAAAAATTTGACTCATTTTATTTTGCCTTGAAGAAACAGATGGTATGAGAATTGTTTACTTATGTGTATCTCTTAATTGGGCTTGCATGCAGAAAATACTGTCTCCAGAAGAATAACCTTTAAGAAATGTCAGTTTCAATTGCCAAAAGGAATTTGTTGCTATAAAGGAGGTTAAGAAAAGGATAGTTTTTGTAGTCATATATGGTTTTTCAAAGCATTTAAAATTAGTTTTAAACTAACATAGTAATAATATCTCATGTTTGATGGAGGAAGAAATCCATGACTGTTAGGACTACTTAAATTCTAATCTTTAATGTTACTTATTAGCACAGTTTCATAATTGTTTTATGTTTCTGTTTTTAGGGTGCTTTGTGGGATGAAGTTGAAGGGAGTGAAGAATTACAAATTAATAAGTGTAAACTTGTATTACTATTTATGGCTCGTTGATAAATTGTTTTATTTATTTATTTAGTTTATTTTTTGCATTTCTCCTAGCAGAGGGGCCCAGGATAGCTTACAATGAATTTTTTTAAAAAAGTATTAAAACAATTAAAAATACCATAAATTGCAATAACACACAAAATTAAACAAATTACGCCTTTAAAAGTATGGAATAAAAGCCCTTTAAGCAATTTAAATAATTTTTAAAGGATCCAGCTCGTATACTAAAAACTCCGTCGACAGCAGCAATTTACTTCATTAAAAGCCTGCCTAAGAGAAAGATCTTTGCCTGCTAAGACAGCAAAAAGTGGGCCGGCAGCATTGGAGCAGCCACAGAAGAAACCTTCTCTTGCATCTGTACCAAGTGAGTCTGTGAGGCTGGTGGGGCAGAAGGAACAGGGAATATCAGTTCTCCCTCCCTGTCTCCGGTTTATTTATTGGTTAAACTGACCAGAAATCATTAATGTACGTAGATGCTGGGAAAAGTAACTGTATAGTAATGTTAATGCCAGTGGTAGCTGGATAAATTGTATGTCACTGGTATATTTCATATTTGGCAACGGGGGCCCGTTTCTTCTTTTTTGAAATGGGTGAAAAATGAAGGTGGAATTTAGTTTTTCGTGATCCCTGCTATGAAACCCTGCCATCTGAGGGTGTTGGGTGGGACTGATAGTTCCAGTGTATTTCAGCGGAATAGTGAAAGATACAACCAAGAGCGACACGGCACTTTCCAACATTTGTTTGCTTTTATTCTGAGGCCAGATTCAAGTACGCCTTACTTTAAAGTAGTCTAGAGTAGAAGTTGTGTTTCTGTGTAAGGAGAGAATTATGCAGCTTGTGCTACAAATAAAATAACCTAATACAGAATGATTAGAACAGTTTTCGTGAAACTGTAACGCCATCGTGTGGTAAATGCCAAGACACTGTTTTTCCTTAAAATCTTCTACAGGCTGAGATGGTATGTGCATGGAGAAGGAACATGCACTTGCTCATTTGTCATCTTTGATATTTGGAATTCTTACCATATGTCGCTTTGGCTCAAGAGTAGCTAAACGTGTAACTGAAACAATCACATACTCTCTCTGTTTACCCTTTCCTTCAGTTCCTCCTTATCATCTTGTGTTTTTGTCTATGTCACATTGCAGACTGTAAGTGCTGGCTTTGACCTGTAAGGCCCAAAAAGAGTAGGGGCCCATTCTCTCCTGCTTCCTAAGGTGCTGTACAAGTTGATAATGTTATATACATTTGCTAATATTAAATTAATAACAATGAAGACTGAGACTGTACTGTAGATAAAAATGTTCACTAAAATTAGATAATTAAGTGCTGAAAGTTGGTATAAAATTGTACATGGTACCGCATTACTGTTTGGAAGATCTGAGATGGTAAACTGCATGGACAGAAATTAGGAGCTTTCAAATGTGCTCTCTTTAAATGTGAAAACCATGGAATTTTGAAACTAATTTGTATGAACGAAGAGCCGAGTGGATGATGTTACTTCCTGGTAATTGGTTCTCATGTACATGCTCAATCCAGAGAAAGCCCTTCCCTACTGGCAACAGGAAACAGGCATGTGTCAGCAAAGAGGTATAATGACTCAGAGAGAGGTTAGAGTCAACCTGTTTCCTCTCGTATATTCAGTTGTGTGTGCATGCGTATGTGTGTTCTTGCTGTTTGTGGCTCACGGAAGGAAAGGATATTTCAGAAAGGAATAGGGGAAATAAATTTATATTCTTTCCTATCATCCCCACCCACCCCAAACTATGCTATGTATCATTACAGGGCTCAGATAGACACTGACTGACTGAAATCCAATAGTACGTTGTAGCTAGAGTAGGCACATTGTATCTGTACAGACAACATAGGTATACAGGTAGCTCACCAGATCCCCCTCACTGAATGGGCTTACTCTGGTTGCAGTTTACTACGGGATTTCATCCACTGCCTGTCAGTTCTGGATTTGAACACCTTTTTCTAATATGCGGGACTCACCAGATCCCCCTTACTGCAATTTACTACAGGATTTCATCCACTGCCTGTCAGTTCAGGATTTGAACACCTTTTTCTAATATGCGGGTAGATATTTCTAGGAAATGGAAAAGGAAGAAAATGACCTTGTCATTAAGCATAGATGTGTTTGTTTGTTTGACTTCTGTATTGCCCATCTGGCTGCAAGGCCACTCTGGGTGGTTTACAACACAATACGTAAAATGATGAGTCTTTTTAAAAAGTTCTTAACTGCACAACGTGATTTCCTTGATCCCAGTTAAGCGTTACCTTTACCTATATTAAACAGGGTGATTTCTTCTTCTGCCTCGTTGTCTCTTACCCCAACTGCTGCTCAAGGATTTCTGTATTGTTTAATTTCTGGACGCTATCACTGGACGTTTTTTTTAAATTTGTTTGATTATTTTAGGATTGAGGGTTTTTTAAAAAATGGATTTGCATATTTCCTTTTACTATACCAACAAATGCATTTCCCACAGCGTGCCTGCTAAGTCACCTGTGCGTGGGTGGGTGGAGCCCTACATATCTATAAATAGTTGTAAGTTTCTGCAAATGTGTTTTTCTTCTCTCCATTTTGTCTTATTTGCCTGATGTACATAAGAATGTCCTATATGTTAGTAAGATGAAAATGTGGATTGTTTAATGGACAGTCTGATAGGTACACTTTTTCATTCCACAAGTCTGATTATTTGGTGTCTGACCTTTTCATCTATATTTCCTTTCTGATCTGTGACTAAAATTACAATTTGTTGGAATACATTGACTACAAAATTGGTTACTGTTTACAACATTTTAACACTGGTTTTCATGTCAAAAATGTGTTCAAAACATACAATACCAAGGAAACAGGACACAAAACTTTAAACAAATCCTCCTCAGATGTGCTCCATTAAGTCTTAAAGCTAGAAACTGCTATAGGAGTTATAATTAAATGTATTTCTTGCACGTGATATGTCAGAATTATATCTTTAGAAAACAGATTTGGTTCTAATTTTTCTTTGTAGAAATGGATAAAGAAATTCAGTGTTTATATAACAGAACCATTTATAGTGTGGTATTTCTTTGATTTTATCTGTTTATATAACATTTATAGTGTGGTATTTCTTTGATTTTATTTAATATTTCGATGCTTATTGTTTTTAGTGTTTAAATATTGTATTTTAATGATGTAAGCTATCTTGGGTCCTTTTTAAGGAGAAAGGCAGGATAGACAGATAAATAATATTAACATGTGGAATTCTGTATTTTTATATATTTCTCTTTTTTCTCAAGACCAGTATAAAGGAGGGTTTACTCTTGAAGCAAACCAGTTCTTTCCAGAGGTGGAAGAAGCGTTACTTTAAACTTCGGGGCCGTACACTTTACTATGCCAAGGATTCAAAGGTAAAACTGCATCCTGTTAGCAATTAACTTTCTTTATATGGATGGAGGGGATACTTTTAGGTGATTTTATTTTATTTATTTTTATTTTATTTATTTGATTTGTATCCCGCCCATCTGGTCTATGCGACCACTCTGATTGTGATAGAAGTTTAAAAACAGTATTAAAATCACTGAGTTTATAGCTTTTTTTGGACATCAAAATTGTATTTTCTCTGTAGTTTTCTTTTTTAGTTCTTAAGAGACTTCGAAGAAGCAAATGAATAATAGGTGAGGGCTCCCCACTTGCATCCATGCCAAACTGACCTTGGTTAAAAGTGCCATGATCTAAAAATAGATACTGCCAAAAGGTATACTTGGAATAGCCTAGCTATAGACAAAAGAAGCAAGGGTGAGTCACAAGGGAAGTCCTCAGCTGCTTCAACAGAAAGCATTCAGCAGTCAATGGTGTACCAGTGGCTCCTTTGGTAACTGACTTTTTCTGTTTTTGCTAATCATAAGAAAATCAGTTATTTTAAAAACTTCCAGTTGATGAATGTGGGATATTGTGCTTCTGTACCCATGATTCAGAAATCCAGGAAATGGCCCAACATTGCTACATCATACCATCCCCATGTTGCCAGCAGGAAAAAAAGATGCCAAGCTTTACATAGCGAAGGGCAGCCTGAATGTTGACAACACCAATGACAGCCGTCAAGATGGTCCACAGGACACCCTTTTCTGCTCACTCTCGTTCACAGTTGTCGAAAAACAGCCCTGACTATTGCTTTGTGTTTTAGTGAGAACTGGTGAACTGATGAAAAAAGGAATTAGCTTCTGGGATTTTCCCTTGCATGGTGTCTCTTTGTGAATGGTAGGGGTGCTGGGGGACTTCTGGTTCAACACCTTGACCATTAGCCTGTGGAGTAATTTTACTTTTCCTATTTTGCTTGTATTGTTGTAACTTGTAAATGGCATTAAAGGTTTCAGAACAGAACAGAACAGAGTCTCCCAGGGTTCCATGATTCCCCAGACTATTTCACATGTGCGTTAAAAAACTGAAAGAAGCTGTTCAGAATTTTGTGGTCTGGTACCAGCAGTGTGCTGATAACACCCAACTCCATTTGGTTTTTAAGATCTTCCATTTAAATGTAATTTTGCCTTCAGGCTCCATTTCATCCAGAGTTAGCCTTTTTTAGAAACTGGAAGTGATGGGTCTGTCACTTCCTATTTCTGACTAGGGTGCATGTGTTGCATTTAAATGGCAAATAGTTCTCCCAAGATTTCTGGGAGATGTGAAAAGTTGAGAGGCTGTGGTGAAGTCCATGGAGCACTGGGAATGGGCAGGGTTCCAAACCCCTCAGCGGTTACCTGGCCTGTTGTGAAAGACATTCAAAGAATCAGAAATTTTGTGTTTCTCAGGAATACCCAAAAGCAGATACCATTCATCTTTCTTTGACTTATCCATCAACAACGTCTTCCTTAAAACATCCTTAGAAGTGCTGTAGGTCAAGAAGCTCTGAGATATTTCATGGCCCTATCATTGGCACAAAGATTAACGTCATATTCATTAGTTCAGGGGACTTTTGGCTCTCCACGTGTATTGTAGTTATAGTGCCTGTAATTCTACCACTGGCTATGCTAAGTGGGGATTCTTGGAGCTGGAGTCAAAATATTTGACTCAATTGATTTGGTGTTCAGGCAAAAATACTGCTGTTTTTCACCCTTAAATTGATGAAACAGAAAACACATGATGACTATAAGGATGTTTTTGCTGGTAGATCTCAGCTCTCTCAGAGACTATTGAAGATTCTATGGTGTAATTGGCAGTAGGTGGGGAGGTTGGGTGACCTCACACTGGGGCCTGAAAAACTGAGAGGAGGCCCTCCTGGAAGATCTTAAAAAGACCCTGTGCGGGGGTGTAGTTCTGACTAAGGCAATCCACCTCAGAAGATTGATGGATCCAGATGGTTTTGTTGCTGCCCTTGGGGAGTTTCTTGTCGCCTTGACAGGTGATTCTGTTGAATCATTAGTTGATCTCTGGAATACGGAAATGGCAAAAGCCATCAACATGATTGTGCCTACATATCTCCTCCCTCAAACTCAAGCCAAACTGGCCCTCTGATTTACCAGGGAGCTGGTGGGGATGAAACAAGTGGGCCATAGATATGAGCAATGATAGCAGAAAACGTGGAGTGAATCTGATTAAAAAAAAGAGAGCTGGGGCCGATTAGAAGCTTATTCCATGGCAGTGGAAGCAGCAAAGAAGTCATTCTACTCTCCCATCATTGCATTTGCGTGGAATCACCCAGTGGAGATATCTTTCGAATGGTCAAGAGCCTGCTACTTGCTAGCCACCAGGAAGATAATGCAGACCACAATGTAGCTCTCTGTGAAGAATTTGTCAAACAGTTGGCAGGCAGAATTGCTCAGATTTGCTCTGACTGGGATACTGTAGTTGATTCAGGTCCTGTGAATGTAAATGTGACTTCTACTTGCCCTGTGTTAAAGGAGGAGTTCCAGTTTCTGCAGCCTGATGATGTGATCAGGACCCTTCCTAACACATGCCTGCTGGATCCTTTCCTTTCCTGGCTCATAAAGGTTGCCAGGAAAGGACTAGTCGATTGGGTAGGAAGAGTGGTGAATGCCTCCTTGCAACAGGGTAGGATCCCATCATGCTTAAAAGAGGCAATAGTAAGACCACTGTTAAAAAAAGCCTTCTTTGGACTCCACAATACTGGATAATTACTGACCAGTATCTAATATCTATGGGGAATGTGCTAGAGTGGGTTGTGGCCTCTCAGCTCCAGAGGTTCCTAGATGAGACAGAGTATCTTGAGCCATTTCAATCTGGCTTCAGGCCTGGTTATGGGACAGAGGTGGCTTTGGTCGCCTTGGTAGATGACCTACGATGGGAAAAGGATAGAGGATTTCTGTCCCTGGTGGTTTTGCTGGACCTCTCAGCAGCTTTCAATACTACCAACCATAGTGTCCTTCTGACCTGTCTCTGTGGAATGGGACTTGGGGGCACTGTTTTATGATGGCTCCAAACCTTCCTGGAGGAAAGAACTCAGAAGGTGGTACAGGAGGATTCCTTCTTTGACACTCTGGCCTGTGGGAACTCCTCAAAGTTCTGTTTTTTCCCCCCTATGTTATTTAATAATTACATGAAACCACTGGGAGAGATTATCCAGAGTTTTGGGTTGGCGTCACCAGTATACAGATGGCACCCAACTCTGAAGAGGGTATCCTCCTTGCCACCTAAATCTGCAGAAGCTGCTTCGGCTCTGAATCAGTATTTGCTATCATCAATGTACTGGATGAGGGTGAATAAATTGAAAAAAGCGAAAGCAGAGCTTGCTGCTTTGAAAACTTAAAATTGAAACTTAATTCAACTTGAAGCTTTGAAACTTAATTCAAACAAGACAGGTGCTTTTGATCAGTCGTAACATAGATCAAGGAATAGAGATACAGCTGATACTAGGTAGGATTGCACTCTGATTGAAAAAAAAGAGGTGTGCTGCTTGGGGGTGTTCCTACGTAGATACATCTCTGAGTCTGGATAGCTGGGTCTCGGCAGTGGCCAGGAGTGCATTTACACATTTAAAACTACTGCATCAGCTATACCTGTTTCTGGAGAGATCTGATCTGTCTGCAGTGACACCCCCTCCTACAGTTACTTCCCTGCTGGATTACTGTGACGTGCTCTATGTGGGGCTGCCAATGGAAAGTGTCAGGAAACTTCAGTGGGTCTGAAATAAAGCAGTGAGATTGCTGAGTGGGGCTGGTTACAGAGATCACATAAACACGAGCAGTGAGATTGCTAACTGGGGCTGGTTACAGAGATCACATAAACACCCTGTTCCAGCAGCTCCACTGGCTTTCAGTCAGTTTCCAGGCACAATTCAAAGTGGTGGCTTTAACCTTTAAAGTCCTAAATGGCCTTTCCAGCAGCTCCACTGGCTTCCAGTCAGTTTCCAGGCACAATTCAAAGTGCTGGCTTTAACCTTTAAAGTCCTAAATGGCCTGGGTCCAAGTATCTCTCATAATGAGCCAGTTTGGGTCTTGAGATCATCAGGAGAGGCCTTTCTCTTGGTCCTGCCATATGTGTGTCTGATGGGGACACGGGAGAGGGCCTTTTCTGTTGCTGCTCCCAGACTTTGGAACTCCCTCCCACAGGAGGGCAGACTGGCCCCATCTTTGCTATTCTTCTGCAATCAGGCAAAGACCTTTCTCTTCAAGCAAGTCATCCTTCAATAACTAGCTACTTGTGCGTGATTTTTTGATAATTTGTTGTGTGTTACTGCTTTGAGTGGATTTTCAGTGATACTAGTGTTTTCCATTTCTCAGAGCAGCATTTAAAAAAATGTTTTTATACTTACTGTTCTTAGCTATAATATTGCCTTTTAATGTTGCAAGATGCCTCTTTATACTCATTGTTCTTAGCTTTAAGTATTGTCTTTCAATGTTGTAAGTTGCCTTGGGATGTTCTCAAGGAAAAAGGCAAGGTAAAAATATCTTAATTGATTAATTAATTAATTTTTAAAAGCATATGGATTTGGGTGTCATCAACACACTGGTGGTACCAGACCACAAAATTCTGAACAGCCTCTTTTGGCTTTTTTCATGTAAATTTGAAATAGTCTGGGGAATCACGGAACCCTGAGACACTCCACAAGCTAACGGTCAAGGTGTTAAACAGGAGTCCCCCAGCACTACTACCATTCACAAAGTGACACCATGCAACGGAAAATCACAGAAGCTGCTTCCTTTTTCATCAGTTCACCAGTTCTCACTAAAACACAAAGCAATTGTCAGGGCTGTTTTTCAACAACTGTGAACGAGAGTGAGCAGAAAAGGGTATCCTGTGGACCATCTTGACGGCTGTCATTGGTGTTGTCAACATTCAGGCTGCCCTTTGCTATGTAAAGCTTGGCATCCTTTTTCCTGCTGGCAGCACGGGCATGATACTATGTAGCAATATTGGGCCATTTCCTGGATTTCTATTAGATTCTAATGCCACAGGCATTTCCTCTATGGATATGTTATGTACAGTACATGTTTTCCAAAATATGTCCCCTTGCTTTTTGAAATAAGAGGAAAAGGTTGGAGTTAGCAAAGAATGTCACTGGGAAGCAAAAATCATCAGTACTATGTGAAAGAAAGAAAGTGAAGACAGGACAAAAATCAAGTCATATAAAATGTAGCATTGGTAGAAATACTAAAGGCAGTAAAGGCAGTAAGAAAAGCAGAAAAGTGGGTGCTCAATCAAGTCAAGCCTGAACTCTCACTGCAAAAATGAGTAATCTGAGTCTTTCATATCATGCACATATAAGAGAAATGTGAACATTCAGTGGCTGAACTATTTGCATTGCATAGCATTCTGATCTATCAGAATGTGTCTGGGGTCATGATTTCTGTGTTTTAATCTATGAGCACAAAAAGATTCACTGCACCACTGCAAAACCATGCACTCGGGGACTCCTGATTTCTGTAGTGTAGTTCAGGGATCCCCCAATCCCCGGGTCTTGGAAGGACCGGGCCACTGGGACAAATGAGCGGCGACCAGGAGGTGAGCGGTGAGCGAAGCCCCGCCTCCTGTCAGCATGCTCCTATTAGGTTCTAATGCCGCTGTTGATCTGACAGGAGGTGGAGCTTCACTCCTTTCTCCCCTCTTGCTGCTACTAGATCAGCTGTGCCTATGGCATTAGAATCTAATAGGAGCCTGGGCTCCTATTAGGTTCTAAGCCACTGCTGATGTAACAGAAGGCGGAGCTTAAATTTCAGCTCACCTTCTGCTCCTGCTTGCCATTTCCTTTATGAGCTCGATTCAAAGCTATCTTCCAACAACCTATTGCATAACAAGTACCCCCCCCGCCCGTCCTTGGGAGAATTGTCTTCAACTAAACCAGTCCCTGCTGTCAAAAAAGTTGGGGACCACTGGTATAGTCTGTGGGCACAGATGGGGCTTATGATATGATAGTGGTTTGGAGATGATCCTATGTAAAAAATTATGGATCCGAGAACTGTTGGATAGCTCAGTAGTTTAGGTCTCTGACTGTGAAACCAGAGGTTGGGAATTCAGTTCCCCATTCTGCCTCCTTTTCAGGGATTGGATTTAATCATCTATAGGATCCCTTCTAGGTCCTCGATTCTAAGGTTGTGATTGCTATTGTTATTGTCCATTCCTTGAATCGATGCTTTTGCACCACTACCAAGCCATGTGCTCAGGGACCCATGATTTCTGTGGTGTAGTCTGAGGCCTATCGTTTGATACTGGTTTAGAAATGCTCCTACTTAAATATCATATGACTCCATGAGGATCTGTATTTCAGATGTGTATTTTTGCACCACTGCAAAGCCATGAGCTGAAGGGCCTACAATTTCTGTGTTTTAGTATGTGGGCAAAGATGGGACCTATGAATGGACAGTTGCTTGGAGATGATCCTTCATAAAAATGATGTGGATCCATGAGGATTCGTGCATCAGATCCATGCTTTTTCACCACTGCAAACCCATGTACTGAGGGACCCATGGTTTCTGTGGTGTAGTCTGTGGGCATAGATGAGCCCTATGATTGGATAGTGGTTTGGGTCTGATTCTGCATAAAAACTATGTGGATCCATGAGGATCTGTGCTTTGGTTCCATGTTTTTGCATGATAGCAAAAAGCAGTAATTAAAGGGTCTGAATTAGAGTCATGAATGGTCCAATTCCTGTGGATGAAAAAAAAAACACTAAGCCCCTCTCCAAATTTTGTCTTTTCTAAATTTTTTGTCTCTTTCCGGTTAGCTACAGATTTATGGTCACTTGCATCTTTATGGGGGGAAAACATTGTTACTTAAAAAAAAACACCACAAATTACTCTTTTCTCAAACATCCGCAAATGTGGCACAGAGCCAGAGCAGCCTTTCTACTACGTCCTTGCCAAATTTGGTGCTGATCTGAGACCCAGTTTCATAGGTATAATTTTTTGTTTGGAGTACCCTATCTTAGAATCCTTTTTTTTTGTGCTTCCACAAAATATATGGCTGCACTACCATGTAGCCATAATGATATTTAGCAAGCACTAATAATTTGTTGCATTGTTTTGGTTTGTTTGTTTGTCTGAGGTTCTGGATATATGTGCTATTCTTACAGGTAATTTATTGAATATTGAGAAAATGTGTATGGCAAAGGTAGTTGACTTGCGGCCCTCTAGGTTTTTTCAGAATGCAACTACCTTAGTCAGCAAAGCCCACAGTAAGAAATGATGAAACCTGCAATCCAGTGACATCTGCTTACCCATGTTTAGGGGGAAAAAAATATAAGGGAAAGCAAATTTCTGACCACCATCCTAAAGCACATATAGCAGAAGCTCTGTTCTTCTTGCTTATACTCCAGGAATTGTGAGGAGTTGAATGGGAACTTAGTGAACATGTAGATAACTAGAGACAGTTCAGAACTGGATTATTTTCTCTGACAGTTCTTTTGATTGGTTGGTGTCCCATTCCCATGTGGTCCCTGCTTGTTTCACCAAACTTAGAGCTGCCACCAGTTGATTACATCAACATTGTTTATTATTAATCACAGAGGTCCAGGCAATGTGTCATTTTAAAAAGAACCAAATAGAAATTGTTACATATGTTGACCGAACAAGCAATGTTGTTAACTCTTCAACAAACATTCATCCACTCTCAACCACCACTTTTCCCCCCAAACTCCCAGAACTCTTCAACTCTCTCTAAACTCTCAATCTCCCTAAAACTCCTCAACTAACTTCCCTCTCCTTCTGTGGAGACTTTTATATTTCGTGACTCCGCCCCTCCAGCACTCCCATTGGTCTATGCAGATATCACATTAATATTCATGACCTGGGCGGATGCCACAGTTGGTTTAACAGTACCTTGGGGTCTACTTGCCTGAGTGGTGATGTAGTAATTAAGTTGGAGTTTGTCTTTCTAAACAAGGGTTGAAAAGATAACATTCAAGCGGCAGGGGAAATGATGTCCATCTCTGTCTTCTTTTCACAGTCACTAATATTTGATGAAGTTGACCTGTCTGATGCCAGCGTTGCTGAATCAAGCACAAAAAATGTCAACAATAGCTTCACGGTATGCGGCCATATATTTCTGATAATATGTTAAAAATATGTTTTGGTTTTTTCTCTTTGCCATATTTCATATTTCATATTTTTATATGGTAGATTTTCTCCCACAGTGTTAAGACAGTATGTTTATTGAACTATGTTCAGTTTGCTGAGAAAATATTTATTGTTCATGAAAATAATTTTTAATCATATTTTGGTTGAAAATGAGTCCCAGAGTAGTTTATAAAAATAAATGACAGTCTTTGCCCTCAGGACTCAGAATGGAAAAACTACTGGTAGTTAAAAAAGAAAAATGCCAATTTTCCTAATAATTCTTTTATTTTATTTTTTTAAAAACCATAATAATGTAGAGTCATAGAATCACAGAGTTGGAAGAGACCACAGGGACCATCAAGTCCAACCCCCTGCCATGCAGGAACTCCATCAAAGCACTCCTGATAGATGGCCATCCAGCCTCTGCTTTTAAAACTTCCAAAGAAGGAGACTCCACCACACTCCGAGGCAGCCTACTCCACTGCTGACCAGCTCTGACTGTCAGGAAGTTCTTTCTGAGATCCAGGTGGAATCTCTTTTCCTGTAGTCTGAAACCATTGCTCCTTGTCCTAGTGTCTGGAGCCATGGAAAACAAACATATCCTTTCCTTGACATGACATCCCTTCAAATATTTAAACATGGCTATCATGTTCCCTCTTAACCTTCTTTTTGTAAGGCTAAACATTCCCAGCTCCCTATGCCGCTCCTCATAGGACATGGATTCCAGACCTTTGACCATTTTAGTCACCCTCCTCTGGACGCGTTCCAGGTTGTCGACATCTTTCTTGAATTGAGGTGCCCAGAACTGGACACAATACTCCAGGTGAGGTCTGACCAAAGTAGAATAGAGTGGTACTATCACTTCTCTTGATCTAGACACCATACTCCTTCCTATTGATGCAACCAAGAATTGCATTGGCTTTCTTGGCAGCCGCATCACACTGCTGACTCATGTTCAGTTTGTGGTCTACCAAGACTCCTAGATCCCTTTCACAGTTACTGTTGTCTAGACAGGTGTCTTCCATCCTGTATCTGTGCAGTTCATTTTTTTTCTGCGTAGCTGTAGGACCTTACATTTCTCCCTGTTGAAATTCATTTTGTTAGTTTTGGTCCAGGACTCTGATCTGTCAAGTTCATTTTGAATGTAATCCTGTCCTCTGGGGAATTAGCAATTTCCTTGTGTTCTTCTGCTTTATTGGAACATGTAACAGTAGGTCAGTGGGTTCAAACCCAACTTCTATATTGTCTCTCGTGACCAATGGGTCCCACGAGAGCATCCAAACGTCTTTATTAAAAGGGTTACAGTTCAAGTCACTCCACGGTCCTTTCAAAAAGGGGTTACTGCTGAGCAGTTTCAGTCTCGGGATCTAATAACTGGGTGGTCTCTTCATCTCGCCCCTCTGGCTCATAGGGGTCCTCCTCTCCTCAGAGGAGCCCCACGGTCCATCAGGAATCACCTCCTCTGGGCTTCCTCCAGATGCCATAACCAACGTTCCCTCTCTTCTCTTTCTACTGCCTCTTTCTCTTCCCGGAGTCTCCGGCGCCATTCTCTGGCTTCTGACTCACTGCAATAGGAGAGACGTGGTGGCAACCCCCTTCTCCATCGATAATTGGCTTCTTCTCTAGGGACCCGTACCTCCTTCCATTTTCCAGTCCACGGGTCCTCAACCCATGTCATTTCCCAACCCCCCAGTATTACATCCACCTCACTTTTTTCATCCCCCATTCCTACTCCACGACGGGCCTCCCCCTTTTTTCTCTTCCCGCCAATTCACCCTCAGTCTGAGTGGCAACTGTCATCTTGACAGTTCCCGCTGTAATTCATGGGTATCCGCTCTCCACTGTATAGTCTCGATGGGTGGCATAGGAGGGTCTGTCTGTGCCTCTTGCTCCTTTCTGAGGGAGGACGACACTCCAGTGAGAGCTTCTACCCTCTCGCCTCGTGTCTCACAGCTGGAATGGCTGTGGTCAGTATTACTTGGTCAGAATGCCCCCATGACATGATGTTTGGACGAGTGTTGTCTCAACTCTTAACAGGATAGATAACCAAATGATAGATTTTTTTGTGGTCAGCTTTTGCATCTATTTGTTTTTGCTCACTGAAATATTGTCTTTTTTTAAAAATGTTGATACTTTTAATGAGAACATTGCAGAATCAAAACAAAGTAAATTGATGAAAAGTGCTATTGCGCTCATGAACACTCAGAAAACTAATACAATATTGTTAGTGTTTTTAAATACAGAGATTTGGGATAGAGCCACTAAGTTTGGAACTTGGAAGAATTCTGAAGTTTTCTTGCAGTCACAGGCCAAAGAACTGTGGTCTACAATAAACTCAAGCCTGCTTTAGAGCGGCCCTTTATTTAACTTAACAGACATGCTTCTTAAGACCTTATGTGCTAAGAGGCATGTAGTCATTGTGTAGAATAGTTCTTTAGTGCTTAAAGATTTGTGTGGAAATGGATATCTGCATCCAGGATGGAAATTAGCAAAATGTGGAACTGAATGGGTTGTCAGTTACGTGAAAGAACTGATCCTTGTCAATTGCACTTAATGAAAAAAATTATATTTAAAATAAAAATAGGAAAAGGAATAAAAAACCAAGACATATGTATGGAAACATGGTTTATTTTCTTTGCACATATTAATTCAACTTCCATCAGACTATTCCAAAATGCATCTGAAATTCAATCAAGAAATGAACAAGTTGTGCTAATTGGTAGATTGGAGGGAGTCAAAGATACACTTAATTTCCTTGTATTCTTCTGTTGAACTGCGTGTAGCACATTTGGGATTCATCTTGCCCGCTAATTTTCTAATTCATGAGATGACTCTTGCCAGACTAACTGGAAAAATAAACTTTAATTTCCCAGCAACAGATGATGGACTGGAAACCTTGGTGTAGTGGAATTCTACATCCCATCGAGTTTAGTTTTATTAAAAAGACTCATGTTAGTTTGGAGGCTTAATGATATTTAACCTGAAACTCTCTGAGTAAAGTGTTGAATAAACAAGAGGTCTGCCTCTGGAACTTGGCTTTTCAATTTAGTTTTTATAACTTCCACGGTATGCATCATGATAATTTTAATGGGTTCTACAATTTTTTTAATCCATTGGTATTGATGATTTTTTATTTTCATCATCCTTTTTTCCACAGATTTGGTCTTCCAGTATACATAATGAATCAGACTTGGCCATTGCCTTTGCTTATGTCCTCTCTTGCTCATGTTGTGCGGCTGCCTCTAAAATGTTATAATTTGAGGGGCTCCGCTTTTGACAAACAGTGCTGCAAATGGAATCTCGGTGTTAGTGAGCAGATTGCAATCCTTTAAATATTCTCACCAGATTTTAAATTATTATGCAAGATCACCTAAGAGAATCTAATGATTTCCCATGTGACTACTGTAAGCCAAACCCAGAGGGATGCAGGAATTTATATCAAAGCAGATCTGACAGATGGTTGTCCAATTTTCTCTTGAATGCCTCCAGCGTAGGAGCTCTCAGCACCTCCCAAGGTAATTAGTTGTATTATTGTACAGCTCTATCTGTTAAGAAATTTTTCCTGATATTCAGCCCAAATCTTGCGTCCTTTAGCTTGATCCCATCAATACATGTCCTGCATTCTGGGATGATGGAACACAGATCCTGCCCCTCCTCTATATGACCACCTTTCAAGTATTTGAAAACTATCAGATTTCCCCTTAGTCTTCTTTTCTCAAGGATAATATGCCCAGTTCTTTCAGTCTTTCCTCATATGGCTTGATTTCCAGTCCTTCGATCATTCTTGTTGCCTTCCTCTTAATTTATTCCAGTTTGTTGGCGTCCTTCTTAAAATGTGTCTAGTACTGAACACAGTATTCTAAATGAGACTTAACCAGTGCTGGATAGAGGGGAATTAGTGCTTCACGGGATTTAGAGACTATACTTCTGTTAATGCAGTGGTTCTTAACCTTTGTTACTCGGATGCTTTTGAACTGCAACTCCCAGAAACCCCAGTCAGGACAGCTGGTGGTGAAGGCTTCTGGGAGTTGCAGTCCAAAACTCCTGAGTAACCCAAGGTTAAGAACCAGTGCGTTAATGCATCCTAAAATCTCATTGGCCTTTTTTGCAGCCACATTGCACTGTTGGCTCATATTCAACTTTTGATTTTCAGCAGTTCTAAGATCTTTCTCACTTGTAGTATTACTGAGCTAAGCATCCTCCATTTTTTAACTGTGCATTTGGGTTTTTTTCCCCTAAGTGTAGAACTTTGCATTTATCCCTGTTAAATTTCATTCTGTTGGTTTCAGCCCAGTGCTCAAGTCTATTAAGACCTTTTTGAATTTTGTTCCTGTCTTCCAAGGTGTTAGCTGTTCAACCCTATTTTGTGTTATCTGCAAATCTGATAAGTATTCTCTGCACTCTCTCATCCAGATCATTAATAAAAAAGTTGAAGAGCTCTGGGCCCAGGACTGAGCTTTGTGGTACCTCACTTGTTAACGTTCATCCGTTTGAGAAGGAACCATTGATAAGCATTCTCTAAGTATGACAATGTAAACACTCCTCCAGTCACTTCATCCATTCTCCTTGATTTCAAGAAAATAATAATAAGTGGTTCTGTGATCTCCTCAGCCATTTCCTTCAATATCCTTGGATTCAGTTCATCCGGCCCCGGGGATTTGAATTCATTTAAAGTAGTATGGCAATCCCTGTCTGTTTAATCTCAAACTGCAGTCCCCTCCCTTCGTACTTCACATTTGATCGGAGAAGTGTAGACTGTCTCTTGGGATAAGACTGAGCTGAAGTAAGAATTGAGCACTTCTGTCTTTTCTTTGTTGTCTGTCATCATTTCCTCATCCCCATTGAGTAGGTGAGCCACTGTTTCTTTTCCGTCCCCGCTGAGTAGGTGAGCCACTGTTTCTTTTCTCTGTCTTTTGCTATGTACATACCTGAAGAATTTTTATTGCTTTCAACATCTCTTGCTAACCTTAACTCATTCTCAGCTATTGCCTTCTTAATACCATCCCTGCAATTTTTTGCTACATATCTGTTCTCTTTCTTTGTAGTCTGGCCTTCCTTCTACTTTATATACCAGGTCTTTTCTGAGTTTTTGTGAAGCCACATCGGTCTTTTTTGATATCTTCCATCTTTTTTTTCCATATTGGAATTGTTTGTAGTTCTGCCTTTAGAATTTCCTTTTTGAGAAATACCCACCCATCTTGGACTCCTTTTCCTGTTGGGACTTCCTGCTATGGGACCTTACCTATCATTTTTCTGAGATTGTTAAAATTGTCTTTCCTAAAATCCAGTATATACGTGCAGTTACATTCTGCTTTTATTTCTTTTGGAAGCAGGAACTCAAGAAGAACATGATTACTTTCCCCAGATTTCCTTTTTGTTGTCATTTCTCCACCATCATCTCTATTGGTTAGGATCAAGTCCAGGATAGGTACTCCTCTGGTTTCTTCCCCCACTTTTTGTGGAGAAAATTATCAGCCACACAAGCTAGGAATTTTTTGGAAGGTCCGTATTTGGAAGAATTCGTTACCCAACAGATATCAGGATAATTGAAGTCTCTCATTGCTACTATACTGTGTTTCTTTGAAATTCTTGAAGTTTGTTTTTAAAAAGTTTCAACTGCATTTTCTTCTTGATTTGGTGATCAGTAATAGACTCCAACTACCATGTTCTTTTTGTTTTTTGCCCCAATTATATTAATCCAGATGTTGTCAACGGGATAACCAGCTGCCATCTACCCCTCATGGTAGCTTTGTAACACAACTTTTGTAGAAGTCTGAGGTCTGGGAATGGAATGACAAGATGTTTGCCCAGCTGGCGGTAATCCAGAAAATTTTAAATCCTGAATCTTTTCCTAAGGAAAATTCTGGGTCTTCCTCAGGGTATCACTACTGCACTTCTAGTAATGGGGAAAGGGTTGCCTTCAATTTCTGTAAGAGTACACCTAACTGTTGAAATGTTTTAAGATTGCCTACCAGAAGACCACTTAGCTAAAGCCTGTTAGTGGCACTACTGGGAAGGTGAACCAATAGGCAAACAATTTATCCCATATTAAGAATACTAAGTCCTGGAACAGAAAAAATGTCAGTGGCTGTGTTTTTGAGCAAGTTGCCAGTCAAGATGTTGCTCTGATTCAGCATTTGGATTCTCCATGCAGTAGCCAGATTAAGAAAAACAGATGGGTTTCATTGTATCTCCTGAAATGTACTATCTTTATGGAAGGAATTTACAAGCTTATGCTTTTGAGTCACACAATTGGCCTAGTTTGAGGTTTGGTTCTGCAAAGTTCCTATGGAAGGATAGCTTTTCCAGGGACAAATAGAGGATCTCATATGTTACATGCTACCCTATCCCTTTAACAAAAGCGTAAGAGGAAGGGCGCTGGGGCAGTTTATTGAGAACTGCATGGATTCAGGAGTAGAATGCATTACGTACAGTATTTGTTGACAAATCAATCACTTGGGTCAAATATCATGTGGCCATTTTTACTTTATTATATTTTTGAAATTTGAAGGAATATTACGTCTGCTAAAGCTATTAAGACAGCTAACTAAATTTTAGTGTTTTGCTTAACTGTGGCATTTAATTGTTTACATTAATGTAGTGTAGCGGGCACCCTGTAGCCTCTGCCAACTCAGGCCTCCAGGAGTGCTCACTACTCTTCCGCTTCAACTGCTGCCACCAATTATAATCAATATTTAAAAAGGACAAGTGTTTCTTCCAAAACAAAACTTGTTGATTGATATAATAAAATAAAATGAGTAAATCACAGGTAGATAATCAAGTTGTAAATCACTGTTTCTCATTCATTAAATCACACAGACTTTTCCCTCACTGACTATTTGGCTCACAGGCCTACTAACATGCTAATCACTAACTCTCAATCTCTCACTCTATCAATTTCTTCATCTCTCACACATCACACACCCCAATATATATTTCAGCTCCTCCTCCTTCTGCACCACCCTCCGTCCCCTCATTGGCTGATGTTCCACTGCCCAGCTGTGATGGACAGGTGAGAGCAGGGCTGTATGTTACGTGTAGTAACTATTATTAATATTTCATGCATGCATGCATGCATGCATACATGCATGCATACATACATACATACATACATACATACATACATACATACATAGTCCGCCTTTCTCCTTAAGAAGGACCTAAGGTGGCTTACGTCTTTAAAAGGCAGTATTTAAAGTTAACAACAGTGAGTATACAAATACTAAAAAGGTTCAAGTGAATACTGTACTAAAAAACATAAACAATACCAAAACACATTCAAAGCAATAAGACACAATAGGTTTTTTTTTTGTATAATTTGCTTTGAATTTTGTAATAACTTGTGGTTAAAACTATAAACTTATTTTCCTACTCACCCCAAGATCAGCTCAGATACTAAAAAGATATTTTATGAATCATGATGAAGAAGTCTTTGTTCGTATAATCACATACTACTGGATATGCAGTTACAGATGTTGAATTAATAATGCTATATCACTGTTGCATTTAACTCTACATGTAATTAAGAAAATTGATTAGTCATTTTTTATGTTTTGTTACTAAGTTTTTTTTTTACATTGTATGCATATGTATTTTAGTTTAAAACATTTTTAAAATACTACCTTTTTGTGTAGTAGGTTTCATTTTAGCTCCTGTGTAATGAGAAATATTCTGTGTTATGCGTTTGTTGTTGTTCAGGAAGAGGAATGGGCAAATGTTAACAAGTGTAAAGAAAGCAGGAAATACAGACCTGGGAGCAATTCTTCTGTTTCGTAGGCAGCTTGCATATACGTATAAAAATGGCTAAAAGTTTTTGCTGCTTCCTTGTGACTCATAGACTGTGCTATACTTAGTGAGTTTATTAGATAAATTAAAGTACAGTACAGTGAATGCAGCAGAGAAGAAACACACAGTGAAGAATATGCAAGGGGCTAAGCTGGTTTGGATACTGTTAAATAAACTCAGTAAGAGAAAAATCTTTCTCATTTAAAGGCATATTTGTGCAATATGAATTCTGGAACAGTTTTCCATAGATATTAAAAGACTGCAATTTAACTTCATAGTCTTAATGCGATCACAACTGTGGAGAGGTATGACAGTTTAGTAAATAATAAATCTTATTTATTATACTTTCAAAGCATTGTGCTTGCTGCTTTAAAATTATTTATTTGCTAGTATTCATCTATCAGAATGGCTGTTCTTCTGGAATTAGTACTTAGCAATAGTCAGCTTTTCTATGAAGAAAGCTTTGTTCTAAGCCAAGTGTAGCCATATAAACTTTCTGAAGGCAATTTGAAGTGCCATTTGATTTCTAGCTGTTAGGGCTGCAGTTTTTTATATTTCTTGTCTCCCGCAATGTTCTTGTATTCCATCTTTTCTATAGTTCCTATACTGTCTTGCAGGCACTTACAAAATTGTATAAATGTAATACTACGAATATCATAGTGAGAAATGGATGACATATATTTACAACCTTGATTTGTTTTTCTCATTAGCAATGATGGTAAATTTATAATATCTTAATTTGCTACTGTATGTATGCAGGAAGAGGATTTTTAATACGTATTTTGTATGTATAAAATTGTGAAAACATTTAAAAATTATCCCCCTCGACACGTGATACAAGATGGGTAGCTGTCAGTAAATTACAAAAGCAATAAGTGAGTCTTAGAACTGACAGCTGAATTTTTGTTTTGGACTGAAATCCTGTTACTTAGCATAGTAAGCCACAACTACAATCAGCCTATTGAATTAGTAGGAATTTAATGAGTCAGCTTCAATGGACCTAGTATAGTCTCAACTTACAGCCAAATACACAAGATCTCAGAGACTAACATTATGTGATATTGAATAAAGAAAAGCAATCACCTTGTTTTTATGATCTGTATTAACCTATCTTCTGTAGCAGTCCAAAGTCATTACATCATGAGTTTTATTTCAGGTAATCACACCATTCAGGAGGTTAATATTGTGTGCAGAGAACAGAAAAGAGATGGAGGATTGGATCAGCTCTCTGAAGTCTGTACAGTCCCGAGAACATTATGAGGTAAGATTAATGTCTCATTGATGAATCCTTTTTTAAAAAAAAAATTGTCTGTTTTTCAAAATTCTGTAGACGGGAGAAAAAGGCATTTTTGTTTGTTTGTTTGTTTGTTTGTTTGATAAGGGTATGAGAAACCCATGGACCTAAAATGAAGATTTGATGAAATGTTTATGTATAATTCTTATTGCTTTTTATTTCGAGAGACTGGGAAGTATTGCTTTACAAGACAAGTTTTTCAATCATGAAGAACGTTGGAATGCTGTATTGATGTCCTCTAATTGCAAATTTGTCTTAATTTCTCCTTTTTTAGACTGCACAGTTTAATGTGGAACATTTCTCAGGGATGCATAACTGGTATGCCTGCTCCCATGCTCGTCCCACTTTCTGTAATGTATGCAGAGAGAGCCTTTCTGGAGTTACTTCTCATGGCCTGTCCTGTGAAGGTAAAGTCAGACTTTTCCCCCCATTGTGCTATCAAAATTAAATGCAGATGCGCAGTAGAAGAGTGTAGCTTACTGAAAGTCAGCCAGAATTTCACTATGAAGTATCAGTAAACTTTATGTTTCCTATCTCTGTAAATTAGGATTTCTTGAAACATTCTAAGATTTTTTTGTTTTGTTTCATTTTGTTGTTTTAGCTTTTTCAGAAATACTAGGTTGTTTTGATGGACTCTTCAAAGATTATCTAGATGCTACATAAATTCCCATTATTTTATTTGTCTTCTACAAATTACATAGCTCCAAAAATCTTTTCATGGAAGAGTCACGGATGTGTAAAATCTACTGGAAGATTTTAGATTTCATCATGTTTTTTATAACAAAGAAATAGTGTCATAAAGAGTTCCCAAGAATGAATTAAGGGAACTAGCAGAAGAGACACAGTTTAGAGGGATTAAAGATGAGGCTTGGAGTGTACTTTAGTTGGGACCTTTCTGTAGCAAATATGTGACAGGTATGTCATTTGTTGCAGGAGAATTTGTTACTTCAAGGCAGCACTACTATTATTGAGAAATAAGTGGCCTTTAAGCATTTAAATAATGACACCCCTCACCTAAAGAAATACTGTATTTTTTGCACCATAAGACTCACTTTTTTCCCACAAAACAGGGGTGTGAAAAGTCTGTGCGTCTTATGGAGCGAAAAATACGGTAAATTTCTTCCCAAAACATCAGGCTTATATGTGCTGAGCAAAAAATGCTCTGCTATATATGAAAAGAATTTTTCAAACCTCATAATAGTAATAATAATAATCACATGCCTTCAAGTTCATTCTGACTTACAGTGACCCATTTCAGGATTTTCAGATAGAGGTGGTTTCCTATTCCTGTCTTCTGAGGGCAACCTGGGACTGTCCAACTTGCCCAAGGACACACAGGCTGGCTCTACTCGCAAAGAGGCACAGTGGGGAATCAAACTCTCGACCTCTGGCTCCACAGCCAGGTACCTAAACCACCAAGGTATTTAGCGGCCTAATAGGGCACTATGTAAGAAAATGTGGAGCTAAATCCAAAGATGACATGTGCCTAAAAAAATGGCCTGTGGAACCAGAGAAGAGGGCATGGAACCTAACTACCATAACATTCAGTGATTATCCATGCAGCTGTTAATAATATATGATGTCAAGTCAGTTTTGATTTATGATGACCCTGGTCCAAAGTTTTCTAGGTATACAGTACTGAGAAGTGGCTTAGTGTTCTGTTCTTCTCGAAGCACTTTGGGACTATATAGCTTGCCCAAGACTACATGGATTAGCCTTTTCTCCAGCAGGCACGGTAAAGAATCTTAACTCCTAGCTCACTGAGCTATCCAGCCACTTACTCCCCCCACCCAGTTGATCACCTAATCATCTCTTCAGGGCCTTCATGAAATGCATTTGTTGACATGTTGAACCATTTAGTACAGTTTGCATGTGACTTGAACAATAGCATGTTCCTCTTTCCTTACCCTATGTTCTCATAAATTCTTTTGACTTTATTTAACCTGAAAGTGTTTCAGAAGTTCTTTTATGGCATCATGGAAAGATTTAACTTGCCCCCAAAATAAGAAACAAAACCATATGCACCTAGGAAAGGCACCCTTCTCAACTTTCATCCTTTTGGGAATCTTGCACTTAGTTGTGGTTTCCCTCTCTTGAAGGTACACCTAGTCTGACTTACCAGTACCCTTTTTGTGGGGTTAAACTCTTGCAAAGCAGAGACAGAGCTGGTGAACAATTTTTTTACTATTCTCAAGAAAGAAAGAAAGAAAGAAAAGAAAAGAAAAAGAAAAAAGAAAAGAAAAGAATTTACCTCCTTGCATTTTGAATACAGTTCATGTCAATAGGTGAAATCCCTTTCCAAAGTTTAAACCCTATTGTCTATATGTATTCTTGGAAACAAAATAACTGGCATTGTGTAATCCCACAAGAGAACTGTTATGCTTCCTGACAAGTTAAACTACAAGTCCCAGGACATGCATCTTGTCAGATTAATGCTCTTGCTTTTTCTGGAATCAACAAAGGCATTCAGGGACGGCATCTGTTCTTGGAAAACCACCAACACAAATTTTCTGGGATAGTATATGGCACACAGTGAAAAACATGCAAGCAACGTGCTCTACTTATGATAAGTAATAGTGGCATTGCATTTTTCTAATCCTTAGAGAATGCTTATATTCATTATACAGTCCCATGGTCCGTGTTTTTGTTAACATGGCTTTTTTAGGACAGTCTATCAGCTTTACCTTTTACAAAAATATGTGTGGCCTAACCATTCTGTACACATTGTAATGAAGATTTTAATGGCTGTTGATGCTGAAAACATATTTATGATCAGTAGCCTGATCCCTTTCAGAAAATGAGCTTTGGCCAATGAAATTATGCTGAAATAGCTTTCCACATAAATCAAAGGAGGGTAGCTATGGTCCTCCATATGTTTTAAGGCTACAACTTCTGAATCAGCTACCCTAGCTATGGCAGATGGGAGTTGTAAGCCAAAATAATATAGAGGGCCACAGTTACCCATACCTTTTGTGAAGTGTAGCCCTATGCCAGCCACAGGGCCCTCCATCACTCTGCTTTGGCTCAGGTAGAAGATTATTGGCATGTACCAATGGGAGCTGTTGGGAGGCGGAGCCAGAGAACCTGGAAGGGAGGGGTGCGTCAGAGTCTAGTCAGTTCAGTCAGAGATAGAGAAGGGAGAAAGTGTTTGGGGTTTGAGGCATAGAGATTGTGTTTAAGGAGTGATTACTCAGAGTGTGATCTGTATTAATTAATATAGAAGAGGATGAAGTAAAATTCTGAAGCTTTTTGTAACTTTAAGAATGTGCTTAAGAACTATTCATAAAACAACTTAGAATCATTAAACCTGTTTCTGTTTAAAAGTTCAATACTGAATGGCCCTCAGTCTTTCATCGGAGATATAGGTTGATAAAGCGATCAACTGGTGGCAGCGTGTTAAAGGGCATGTTGGGATACTCGTGTGAGCCCTGTGTTTGGTGAAACAAGCAGGGGCCACAGGGTAAATGCCACATGAAGCAATACCTTCAGACACCTCATTGGATTCTTTTGTTGGTTACACTGATTTGCCAGTGTGCAGGTACTGTGATATTGCAATGTCTGAGTAGGCACTTTGGATGTCCTTGTGTCTCTCCATGTCCTCAAAGCCTCAAAAGTTAGATTCCTATAAGTGGAAAAAGGACCAATTTGTTCTTGGTGGTATTAAAACTTGATATTCATATTTACCATATGGAATAATCCCTAATGAAATAATTTATACAAAACTAAAGATTCTAGTGGTGGAGAGACACTGTTCCAGCTTATACATTGTATAAATGCATAAACGGTGTGAATCCCTCAGTGTCACTTGGCTCCTGAAGTAATTTGGCACAGACTGAAAAAGTGTGACCTGAAATCTTAAGAAGTTTTAATTAAAAAGGTGGAAAAGATGTGGAAGTACAAGTAGCCTCTCAGGAAGCAAGTGCAAAACAAGGGGCACTAAATAATTTATAAGTTACATAGAGACATTTTACTGCTATGTTAGGGTGTGATCTGCATATGGTTAAATTTTTGGAAGATTTTGTAACTGTAGATACAACATTCAAGGAATATCTCAGAAATATGTATATGTTTTCTTGTAGTATGCAAGTTTAAGGCTCATAAAAGATGTGCAGTCAGGGCCATAAACAATTGCAAATGGACTACATTGACTTCAATTGGAAAAGATATTATAGAAGATGAAGATGGTGTAAGTATTTGTATAATGATATAGATAGTGTCTCACATGCTTTAATTTTCTGTAGAGAAAATAATATCCAAAATCCTGTGTGTGTAAGTAGCACTATTGCAAACATTGTGGGGACTAACCGAGTTTGATTAACTACTCATGCATTTGATCATATGTCTGGTCATGTGACCCTTGTGCAACCAGACACATGGCCATTATCTTGTTACTTAACCTGAATTTAATCAATCTGGTGTCTGCACCTGCACTGTCACACATAGGGAAAAAAAAACAGAATTCTCACCATTGTGTCTGATAATACTTTTGGCTCTGTGAATAATACCTTGCTGTTACTGTGTGTTGCTGTCTGGATTGCTCATTGAGTTAGGGACTTACCTTTGGAGGGAAATAGGGAAATATTGGGAGTTTGACTCCCCGCTGTGCCTTCTGGGAGGAAAGACAGCAGTCTAATTTTGGACAAGCTGTAGAGTCCCAGAGCACATCCAGAAGAAGGAACTGGCAATTGACTTCTGAGTATCCTATATCTAGAAAACTCTTAAAAGGTTCACCATAAGTCAGAATTGACTTTTTGGCACAATATTATTATTATTCTATTATTATAAATTACGTAACAGTATGCCATCAAGTCAGTTCTGAGTACGGCGGCCCTTTCAGTGGTTTTCTTGGTGTAGGGTACTCAGAAGTGATTTGTCATTCCCTTCTTCTGAGTGTGCTCTGGGACTGTGCAGCCTGCCCAAGGCCTCACAAGCTAGCTCTTCTCCTACAAGGCACGGGGGCGCGGGGCGGGAATCAAACTACCAGCCCAGGGCTCCGGTGCTAAAGCTCACTGTGCTAACTGGACAGCCCTTATCTAGATTCGGGCATGTTTATTTGCTTTTAGCCCATTCTGTCCATCTGGTTTGTGCCCTAGTTACAATGTAAACAATTCCTTGGATCTTGCTCAAGTAGACAGCTCTTTTCCTACTAGGCACGGGGGCGCGGGGCGGGAATCAAACTACCAGCCCAGGGCTCCGGTGCTAAAGCTCACTGTGCTAACTGGACAGCCCTTATCTAGATTCGGGCATGTTTATTTGCTTTTAGCCCATTCTGTCCATCTGGTTTGTGCCCTAGTTACAATGTAAACAATTCCTTGGATCTTGCTCAAGTAGACTGAAGGTGTTGTGGTGTATGGCCTGTGTTTCTTTGTGCAGCACGATCCTTTTCTCCTGTAGGAAGTGGTGCACTTCAGAGATTTCACAATCAAATTGTTAAGTCCTGTCAATCAGAAAAAGCATATGGAATTTACTGTGTGCTGCTTACATACCACTAAACAGTGCTTAAAGCACTCTCTAGGCAGTTTGCAGTTTAATTATGAAAGCTACACATTGCCGCCCCCTGCCCCCTTGAGCTGGGTACTCAGTTTACCTCTCTTGGAAGCCGGCTTGTGCCAGCTACCTGACCTCATTGGGATCAAACTCAGGTAGAGAGCAGAATACTTTTGTGGACTACAACTTGACAGATCTCCCAGACAACTGGTTTTAGTCCACAAAATTAACTTTTCAGTGCTTTGAATAAGAGGCGACTTTGCTCACCTTGGCTAGGGCGCAGGTATTATTATAAAGAGTTGACACTGGAATCTAGTGATTGCATGATAGTGGCACGGATCCTGAGAGACATATATCCAATTTTTTCAGCTTGCTCTTTTCTGAAGCAAGACTTTGTCCCCCTGCAACCAGCCCTAAAGTTTTGAAGACTCCTCATGTGCACCAAAAATAAAAACTGAGGGAACTGCTGTCCACAGACAGAAGTTATTTGCACGTGTGCCTAGACCACTGTGGATCTGAGCTTAAAGGATTTAAAAATGAGTTGAGTTAAAAAAAAAGTTGAACACTGGTAAATTTGGAGGAAGGATGAAGAGCAGTGATTTTCCCTTATTAACCCCACTTGATCTTAATGTTACATTGTAGGTTGCTATGCCTCATCAGTGGCTAGAAGGAAATTTGCCAGTCAGTGCCAAATGTGCAGTTTGTGACAAGACTTGTGGCAGTGTTTTACGCTTGCAAGACTGGAAGTGCCTTTGGTGTAAAACTATGGTATGTTCAGAATATTTGATTTCGTTTATTCTCCATTTAATGACAAAGAAATTGTTCAATATCTATCTGTCTGTCTGTCTATCCATCCATCTATCCATCCATCTAGCCATCTATCCAGCCATCCAGCCATTCTGGGTGGTTTGCAACATAAAATAATAATGAACAGAAATCATAAAGTGGAGCCAAACTACAAAAAAATTAATAAAATAACAATAAAATAGTTTTTAAACACATACAAAAATACCTAAAACCAAACATGGGCCTTCCAAGAAATTATTGGTTTGTGTTGCTGATAAGTTTCTCCTACAAAAAGTGGAGGAAGAAACCAGAGAATTAGCTATCCAGGGTTTCATCCTAATCAACAGATATGACATGGTGGAAGGAGTGGCAGCAAGAAGAACTTTGCGGGAAAGTGACTATGGTCTATTTGAGTTCCTGATTTTGAAAGAAACAAAAGCAAAGTGTTGCCACACATATATGCTAGACTTTAGGAAAGCCAATTTTAATAAACTCAGAACAAAGATAGGTAAGGTCCCATGGCAGTCCTAACAGAAAAGGAGTCCAAGATGGGTAGGAGTTTCCCAAAAGGAAATTCTAAGGACACAACTACAAACAATTCCAACATAAAAAAGATGGAAGACAGCAAAAAAGACCAGTGTGGCATCAGAAAAAAAATCAGAGAAGACCTGAAAACAAACAAACAAACAAAGACACAGGAAATTGAAGAAAGCCCAGGCTACAAAGGAAGAGAACAGACAAGTACAGTAGCAAGGAATTGTAGGTATGACATTAGGAGGGCAGAAGCTAAGAATGAGCTGAGGTTGGCAAGAGATGCTAAAAGCAGCAAAAAAGCATTCTTCAGGTGCATGTGTAGTAAAAGACAGAGTAAAGAAACAGTGACTCAGCTACTCAGTGAGGATGGGAAAATGATAACAGATAACAAAGAAAATGCAGAAGTGCTCATTCTGGCTTCAGCTTGGGCTTCTAGAAAACAGTCCTCTAGGCAAATGTGAGGACAGTCCTCCAGGCAAAAGGGAGGGGGTAGAATTGCATCGTGAGATTGATAAAGAAATACACAAGGAGTACCTTACTGGTTTAAATGAGTTCAAATCCCCAGTACCAGATGAACTGGATCCAAGGATATTGAAGGAACTGGCTGAATTAATTACAGAACCACTTTCTGTTATTTCCTTAAAACAATAGAGGATGGGTGAAGTACCAGATGATTGGTGGAGAGCTAACATTGCCTCAATCTGCAAAAAAGAGGAACCAGGGAATGACAGATCATTCAGCTTGACATCACTCCAAGGGCAAATTCTGGAGCACATTATAAAGCATTCACTCTGCAAGCACCTTGAAAACAATGTAGTAATAACTAGAAGTCAACATGAATTTGTCAAAAACAAATCCTGCAAAACTAATCTTATCTTATATTTTGATTGGCTGACCTCCATGGTAGACAGTGGGAATACTGTAGACATAATATATCTTGACTTCAGCAAAGCCTTTGACAAAGAGCCTCATGATATTCTGATTAACAAGCTAACTAGGTGTAGACTGTATAGAACAACTGTCAGGTGGATACACAGTTGGTTGCAGGATTGTATGAAGAGGGTGATGATTAATGGCTCCTTTTCAAATTGTGTGGAAGTAACAAGTAACAGTGGCTCCTTCTCAAACTGGGGGAGGGTAGCAAGTGGTGTTCCCCAAGGCTTACTCCTGGGCCTGGCGCTCTTAAACATTTTTATTAATGATCTGGATGAGGGAATACTTACTAAATTTGCAGCTGTTGCAAAATTGTGTGGAATAGCTAATACCTTGGAAGAGAGGAAGAAAATTTGAAAAGATCTTGATAGACTTGAGCACTGGGCAGAAAGCAACAGAATGAAATTTTAACAGGCTTAAGTGCAAAGTTGAACACCTATGGGTGTACTGTATTGTTTTCAAGGTGGTAACAGAGTGACTGCTTTATAATCTGCTCCAGATATTGTTTTCAAGGTAGTAACAGAGTGACTGCTTTATACAGTAATCTGCTCCAGAATTTCCCCTGGGATTGATGTCTGACTGCTCTGTAGTTCCCTGGTTTCTCTTTTTTGCCTTTTTTGAAGATTGGGATGTTAGCTCTCCTCCAATAATCTGGTAATTCGCCCATCCTTCATGATTTTAAGAAGATAATAGGGAGTGGCTCTGCAGTCTCTTCAGCCAGTTCCTCCAATATTTTATCCTGCCTTTGTTGTCTAGTGGGAACCCAAATTGGTATGTGTAATAAGTGATATACAGTACTGTGGTTTTTTTAATAGATAGACGAGTACTACTTTCATGTTAATAATGTATGTTAAGCTGCTCATAATATCTGTCAGGCTAATGGAGTTTTTAAAAATGTTGATATAAAGCACCCACCATAGAAGACCTGAAATATTCCTTATGCTACTTCACTGGGCAACAAATGCATACATTTACAAAGCACGTATGGTAAAGTTCAGCTTCCAGAACCTTGGCTTTTCTCTGGGAAATAACACTGGTGGCTGATATCTTGGATCCACCATAGAATCCTGTGTACAGTTCCTAGAAAATTATTTTGTTTAGTCTTCAGACTTACAAAGTGTATTTGTGGAATCTCTGTTCTATTCTTTTGATTGACCTTGGTGTTCAGCCTCCTTTGGAATGTTTGATTACAAAGTTCACAACCAATATGTCTTTGAAACAAGCTAAACAGTGATTTTTTCAGCCCATCTCACGCCACTGATGCCCATAATACAAATCTGTAGCGCAAAGATGACCATTGCCAGGACTTTCTTCTCAGGAAGGAACACAACTGACCCAGAATCTATCCAGATAATAAAAGGACCTCCTACTAAAAGCAACTAGTAAAAGGCATTGTTGTGACCTCACAGGATTCAAAAGCAGCACGGGATTAAGAAGCACTTCCAAGTGGGGAACCAGCCATCTTAAGGAAGCAAGAGCAACCACAGCTAAAATGTCTTGCATTTTTAGCCTTTCCTGGTTTTACTGGTGTTAGGATGAGCAGTGCATTGCCTTGATGACTTTATGTATCTAAGACCCCCACCCCTGTTGAGTGAGGGATTTTCTATATGCCCCTGTATGGCCTTCCTGACTCCTCTCTCAAACCACCTATCTTCTCGGTCTGACGTGGAGGATATGTCAGGGGTCTCCTACCAAATCTCCTCAGACTGAAGAAGCTACTTAGTAGCGAAATGTTTCAACCTGACAAGAAGTCTAGTTGCCATGACTCAGCTTCCAGATAACCTCACCTGGATGACTGAGAATTTTCACAGATTATTACTTCGTGTAGATGTTGAAATTCAGTTGTGGAACACTGTGGCGTCCATAAGCCAAAAGCCATGAGACACAGCAGTAGTCCCTCACACTAAGCACCACCTTCTGTGATCTGCCCCCAGGAATTTAACTGTTGAAAATGGCTCAGTCTTCTCTTACTATTTTGTCAATTTGTTCTTCATGCTCATTCCTTATTACAGTGTTTCCTAGCCTGGGGGGTTGGGATCCTCAAGGGGGTCACAAAACATTTTATACAGTATGTGTTGTAAAAAGATAAAGGTAAAGGTTCCCCTTGACATTTTCAGTCCAGTCGTGTCCGACTTTAGGAGTTGGTGCTCATACCGTTTTCAAGCTGTAGAGCCAGCGCTTGTCTGAAGACAGTTTCCGTTGTCACGTGGCCAGCGTGACTAGGGAGAGGCATTTTACCTTCCCACCGAGATGGTACCTATTTATCTACTCGCATTTACATGCTTTCGAACTGCTAGGTTGGCAAGGAGCTGGGACAAAGCGACGGGAGCTCACTCTGTTGCATGGATTCGATCTTATGACTGCTGGTCTTCTGACCCTGCAGCACAGGGTTTAGCCCACAGCGCCACCACGTCCCCTTATATGGAATGGGGTAGTTAGGGTATATGTGTATTTTTGAGAAACAGGCCCTTTTGGGGAGAAAGAAGCCTTTGCTTTCTGAGAAGGGATGACCTGGACTTTTTTCTACCCCCCCCCCAAAAAAAAACTAGTGGAAAGTAACTACTGATAATTCTGCAAGAATGGGATTTTAACTAGGTTAAAACACTTTGGGAGAGCCTAAAGAAGGAGAGGGAAAGGGAAAAGAAGAATCAACAACAGGAGGGGGACACAAAAAGAAACAGTGTGCCTCTTCTGCAGCAGGTGTAAGGAAAGTTTTGTGCTGATTTCTGAGGGGGATCCCATCTGTGTGATGGGATCCCCCTCTGGGTACCGCCATGTCCTTCTGCCGCCTGACCAATCTTTGAAATCCTTTCTCTTTTCTTTACCTTTAACCTCCCGCAGCCGGTTCCCTCCCCAGTTTTGAAGTGGGGGTGGTGGAGACAATGGCAGGAGCAGTAGGAGGGCGATCAGAAGAATCATGGACAGTGCTGCAATGTTAGGGAATGACAACATGGCCTTTTTATGGGAATGTGGCAGAGGGGTGTAGGTTACTTGGCAATTACACAAGTGGGTTGTGACTTGAAAAAGGTAGGGAACCACTGCCTTAGTGAATACTGTATATCCATATTTCTGTACAAAATTTCTTTCTTGTACTGTGCCCTCTAGTGTTCTCTTAATATTTACAGCATAATTCTCTCATCAATATTTTGTTGTCAAGACTCAAGAGTATCTCTTAGATTGGTGAGTTTTATGTGCGTTTTATCACAATCCTCTTTTCCTCTCTGTATGTAAAAGGTATCTCAACCACACTTTCCATTAAGGTTATTTTGTTAGAATATGATGCTTCTTATGAAACTCCAAGTTCATAATGAATGGCTCAGCATTCTAACTGGACCAGACCCAGGTATTCAGGGCTTTTTCTCTGGGCATGGTTTACATGAAAAACATGCTTAACCATTTTCTAAATATCCAATATAGGACTGTGAAAGAAATGCAAAATTCACAATCACAGCTAATTTAGATGGGTTGTTGCTCACAACCATGTTACTAACAACCATGACATTTCTCCTGGGTGTTTGTGCTCTGCTGCCATTGCGCTAGCAAGGACTCCGCTGTCTGTAGGCCAACACCAGAACAAAGAAACGACAAGTTTTTCCTCGCCTACTAATTAAATATAACTGAATGTGACAGACTGGCTAAAACCTGCCAGTCATCACAATCATAATTGACAAGTGGTCATGTGACACAAAGCATTTCCTGGCGCTATGTATATAAGCAGCACGCTTTGCTGTGCCAAATCATAACTTCAAACAGATAGCTTGTAGTTTGTGGTGCTGCAGGATGGCTGGATGAAACTCTGTGACATCCATAAGCCATAGGATATGAGGCTGAATCACCTGGCCTTGTATTATGACAGATGTGTTAAGGCTGCCACATGGAAACTTTACATGCCGGAAACTTTACAAAATGTTGTGTCGATGTACGTGCCAGCTCAAATTCAAACTCGAGGAGAACATTTCACCACACCCTTTTATTACAAGGACTCCAGTTGTCTACCTTTTCCTGCAGGAATATTGCTTGCTTTTATGTGGAAATGTAACTCATTCTTCATAGATAGTCAAAATTCTTCTGTTAAGAGCTCCAAAACCTTCCCTGAGAAAACTCAGCCCAGGCGAACAAACCACATGTGAAACTTAAAGAATATTATTTACTAAAAAGCAACTCATTAGTATTTTTTCTTTCTTGTTTGACACTAATCAGGCAAGGCAGGCAAGTTATTTATCAGTCTCCTACTGGGTTTCCATAACTATATATAGCCTGAGTTTATCCTGATGAGTCAGAAACTGTGTAGAAGTATTTTAGCTTCATCACACAGTACTAGTGTGCACATTTATTTTCTTATATATTTCTTTGAAACATATCGTATTAAATCACAGTGCTCTGATATATGCTTTTTTGCCACAAAACAAAGTTCCATATTTCAGAGTAATATCAATAATCCATGGTTAATTTATTGTCAAATTGTTTGTAGGTGCACACAGCTTGCAGAGATCTGTATCCTCACAAGTGTCCACTTGGCCAATGTAAAGTCTCCATTATTCCACCCACAGCACTGAACAGCATAGACTCTGATGGTATGTGGGACTTTTGACATGTATTTCTGTTGTTATACGAGACTTTGTTGTGATCCACAGAGCAGAGGTGAAGTGCATTTGAGTGGAAGAGCATTTATTGTATTGTAATACTGGGCTACACGAGGAGTAATCATAATGTGATAATGCAGTATTGTGAAATATGGTGAAGCCATTTTTGCCATTGCCAGGTCGCCACTGTATTGTTCAAGGCTTTTGCATTTGAAAATGTTGTAACCTATATTTAGTACTGAATATACTGACCAAATTGTGCATAACTTGGGCCCATTTCTATTGACATATCTAAAGAGAGAAGGAACAGTAGGTTGGATCCAGCAGTCCCATGAGCTGAGTTCTGTTCACAGAGTGGATAATATCAGTACTCATAAATGGGAAGGAGGGATTTTCCCCCCTGATTTCCCATCCACCAACTCTGTAGAGTTCTAGAACCCTTTGGAACAGCTTCTCATGGTCACTTTGGATTCCCAGTTGCCTATCCAAGAGCCTGTCTCGGCTCATGCTACTCACACCCTATACATGATCTTGGTTTCAGAGCCTCTCTGTGCAGAGTGCTGCCATCTCTCCAAGAGTCCCCTCTCCTCAGACTTCTCTTTCGGAGCCATCCTTGCCTCATAATTTGTCAGAGGATGAACAAAGGTTGAGATTGATCCAGTGGTTACCTTTACCACGGCATCATGGCCAGGAAAACCAAGAGTGTACTCAACTACACGATCTCCATCGCACCAGCATGTGATTTGCCAGACTCTCCTACTTCCCTAGCTACTGTCCTGGCCTTTCTCCTGTACCTTGAGCACCAAGGCCTTGCCGTCTCCTCTATAAAGGTCTATCTTCTTCCTATTATAGCACACCAACAGGCCAGTCACCCCTCCTCCTGTTTTTTCACACAACAGATGGTTAAGAGGTTTCTCAAAGGTCTTCATAACGCCTACCTTGACATTTGTTTTAGATTTTAAAACTTTATTTTAGACAAACCATCACATTACAAACAAACAATACAGTTAGCTATTCATCTTACTTACTAAATATTTTAACATTCTAAAGAGCAGCTATTCACATTATGTAACAAAATTACACTTAATCTCGAATCCCCATTCCATCCTAGAAAATTACCTACCAACAATCTGAGCAATCTAGATTATTTCCTAAATCACGTGACTTCTCATTTAGTTCATTGGTGTATTTTGATCTTTTAGTTTGAACTATTCTAGCTAGAAGGTTTGAATTTTTATTACTTTAGTCAACAAAATTCCTCTTAGCATCTATCAAGTCCCTCTGAACCTTTTCTAACTCTACACTTTCTAATTCCTTTCTTTTAGCTTGAATCTCTAGTTATTGTTTATTACGGTATCTCTATCTATAAAATATTTACTTTCTAAATCTTTTAATGATTCTTTTTTATATTTTCTTTTCTCGATTTTTTTAATCTATAGGATCCTCTCATATCTACTTTCATAGTGTCCCATAACGCTCTTATTTTATTCCCACCTGCTTTGTTAATTGACCATATTTCCAACCATTCTTTCTTAACTCTATCCACAACCTCTGTATGCTGAAATATATTGCAGTCTATTCCCCATCTCCTAGACAGCATCTTAAAAAGCAGAGACATCACATTTCCAACAAAGGTCCGCATAGTCAAAGCTTTGGTTTTTCCAGTAGTGATGTATGGAAGTGAGAGCTGGACCATAAAGAAGGCTGACCGCCAAAGAATTGATGCTTTTGAATTGTGGTGCTGGAGGAGGCTCTTGAGAGTCCCCTGGACTGCAAGGAGAACAAACCTATCTATTCTGAAGGAAATCAACCCTGAGTGCTCACTGGAAGGACAGATCCTGAAGCTGAGGCTCCAATACTTTGGCCATCTCATGAGAAGAGAGGACTCCCTGGATAAGACCCTGATGTTGGGAATGTGTGGCAAGAGGAGAGGGGGACGACAGAGGACGAGATGGCTGAACAGTGTCACTGAAGCTACCAACATGAATTTGTCCAAACTCCAGGAGGCAGTGGAAGCCTGGCATGCTCTGGTCCATGGGGTCACAAAGAGTCGAACACGACTTAATGACTAAACAACAACAAATCTATTTTGCTGAATACATGGAATACTTTAAGTCAACTAGCATTTAAATTTAGTAACATTGGGAAACAATTTAGAGGATTTTGTGTTTCAAGCATGATTTGGCAAAAATAATAAAACATATTAAAATATTTTACTTGCCAAAGAATATGTTTTTGGGTTCCTCCCAAGCTGCTACTGAGTAGCAGAGCTACAAGACTTCACTTTTAAAAAGGAAAATCCAGGTCGTACCTGGGTTCAGAGGTCTTAGGTTTAATCCTTCACCGCCTCCTTGAGTTGGAAATGACTGGACAATTTAGAACAATTAAAATACAATTAATATATATATAAAAATTGCCATCGGACCCACAGCTAATATTATTTCAATTAAAAGCCTTTTGGAACAGGAAGGTTGACCTGGCGCCGAAATGTCATCAGCGTCGGCGCCAGACGAATCTCAGTCAGGAGGGCGTTCCATAGTCTGGGGGCAGCTGCCGAAAAGGCCCTTTGTCTACAAGCCGTCCCTCTTACCTCCTTAAGGGACGGCTCTTTCAAAAGGGCCCCCTGGCTAGATCTTAACTGCCGGGTAGGTTCATATGGAAGGAGGCGGTCCTTCAGGCATCCAGGGCCCAAGCCATTTAGGGCTTTATATGTCAAAACAAGCACTTTGAATTGGGCCCGGGCAGCAACTGGTAGCCAATGTAACTTATACAGAATCAGCTTGATATGTTCCCTGGTGGCTGCACCGCTCACCAGCCGCGCAGCTTGATTCTGGACCAGTTGCAATCGCCGGACCGTCTTCAAAGGCAGCCCCACGTAAAGCGCATTGCAGTAATCTATGCGGGATGTTACCAGTGCATGTGTAACTGTCATGAGACTCCGCTCGTCTAGGTAGGGCCATAGCTGGTACAGTTTCCACAGCTGAAGGAAGGCGCCCCTGGCCACCGAGTCCACCTGGGCTTCCAGAGTCAGACTGGGGTCCAGGAGCACCCCCGGGCTGCAGACCCTGTCCCTTATGGGGTGTGTAACCCCATTCAGAGCAGGAAAATGGCCCTCCAACCTGTCCGGCGAAGCACCCACTAACAGCACTTCGGTCTTGTCTAGATTGAGTTTCAATTTATTAACCCTCATCCAGTCCATTATCAGGTCCAGACACGAGTTCAGCACAGAAACTGCCTCACCTGGATTGGTGGAAAACGAGAGGTAGAGCTGAGTATCGTCAGCATATTGCTGACTCCTCAGCCCAAACCTCCTGATGACCTCTCCCAGCGGTTTCATGTAGATGTTAAACAGCATGGGGGACAGTATCGAGCCCTGAGGAACCCCATGACATAACTGCCATGGGGCAGA